ATAATCAAACAGCAGAGCGATGCGCAGCAGCCAACGGAGACATCGCAACTACGATCGGGCGAAATTAACAACGCGACAATTCGGGGGGCGGAGCCACCTCCTCCCACGCACAAGCAGCACCGTTACCATCTCCGACGCAGAGTATAAATACCGCACGCACCGCCGATAACCTCCCAGTGTTCGAAGTGTTTTCGGCGCGCGAGCATTGAAGATGCCAAGTGAGATTTTGGCGAAACGTCTGCAGGATTCCAGTCGGAGTTCAACAAGCGAATGGATGATATCCCGGAATATAGTGTCATCACATTTCTCCATCCGTGAATCAATACGTGCGTTTCTTGTGCTGTAGCTGTAACACTATCCATTTCTAGTTCAGTTTCACAGTTTGTTTTGAATTACGTAAATTAATTTTGTTTGTTCTAGTATCTTAAGTTCACGTATTTTTATATAAGATAGCTTTGTGTAGATTCCTTCACTAGAAATATTAAAGTTCATTTGAAAAATTACTTTAAATGCATTATTTTGTAGCCTTTGTAATTTATTTAGCTGTGCTAAGCATGTTAACAAGTATCTCAGGTGTGGCTATTATAAAGCAGATGTCTTGTTTTTTGGTTCAGTTTTTGTGAACATCTTTTTTTTGCATCTAGCATTGCTACAGTTTTGTCAATTACGTTCTCAATATGTTTATCCCAAGTTAGATTTTCAGAAAGAGTGCCGCTTCATTTATTTTTATATTTACGTTACAAGGTCCTTTTCCTGTCTCTGTTCCTGTTTTTTGGGCGTTTAAGAAAACTCTGTTATAGCACAGTTACTCAAAATACTGCTGTAAATCTTTATTAACAAGTTCTTCAAGCTGTTCCGCACTATCACCCGAGAAAACTAATGCAGTGTCATCAGCAAACTGCAGTAACCATGAGCTAAATTGCTAAACAGCATAGCAACCCATTGATAATTAAATACATACATTGTGCGTACTAGACGTAATATATATATATATTACTATTTGAGTTTTGAACCCTTTCCGGGACAACAAAATTAATTTTTGCTATTAAATAGTAAAAGCATTTTTGTCCTACAGCTTCCTGTCTTTTTTCCTAACGAGTATTAATAAGGCTTGAATATTCCGCTACGGGAAAGATGTTTGAGAATTGGAGATCATATTGTTCTAAGAGAAAACCTGTTAAGATATTACAAGTCCATGTCTTATATATCAGTTCAATGGTCCGTTTGCATTCCATTATAATTTGATATTGATAAGACAGGTTTGGTTGGTTGTCACAGTTTTATTTTGTCAGAGTGTCAAATTTATGAATTTTCTATTGTCAAATTTTATTTATGGTATTTCAAAGTCGAAATAAATGGTAAAGTATCGAATCGCTGGATCGACTGCCACCAGGGTCCTGATTCAACACCAATTAAGTCAAAAGAAAGTATATGCTGATTATTGATAATTTAATATAATGTAAGGTAATATCAACCACATTGAGGAGTGGGTAGCTTGAAGCTTCATCAGATTCTCCTCCACCAATTTGACCTGCTCAATGAGGTTCAAGTAAGTTTTTAGCACTTTTGCAGACCATTTGCAGTTGATACTACTTTTTATTTCATTTCAACGTTTATGCCAGCCAGCTTTTAAGCTATTATTGTTTATTAAAAATGACTTGCCCAAAATCACCGTACCCAAGACTAAACTCACATGTTGGTTAACATTCGAAAAAAAATCTGTCAGTGGTCCTGTTAATCGGAATGATTTTTAAAACGTGACGAATAATCAAAACCCGGATTTAATTGCTCGGACAGTGTAAACAATGAAAATATGTATCTCAAAAAGGATTATAACAATATAAATCACTCGTAGCCCCGTATAAAACGACACAATGATAAATGTAATTTTGGTAAACGTGAGCTTCTCCATATAATTTTCTCCATTTATATTGCGCTGCATCTGATAAGCGCCATTCCTTATATTAGTTAGAACTGGTATAAATCAAAGTAAAGTTCAGTCGAGGATGCTAGAAAAAGATGCCCTGACATTGCTTCACGAAACTGAATTTTTGCCGCGATACCAAAACTGCTTGAAACACGGGCTCTCTGTCCCATATTTGATCAACGCTGTAGACAAACTTAAAATTAAGTAATATGTGAAAACGATTTTTAAGTAATATGTGAAAATATATTTTTTTGTAGCTAAAACTTCCAATTTTATTTTAAAATAAATTTTAACTTTCTTTTCTCTTTATTATCACTTTATAATGGATAGGTGTGTTAAATATACATTTATTGTTTGTTTAAGTTGAACGGTGAAATACTTATTCCTCTTAATGTCTAATTGTCTTTGGTATCTATTCCAGCTGAAGCCCGAGATAACCATTTGCAATGGATCTCCCTGGAATCGTAAGTATCAGGTAATCAGATATTTTGCTAATGCTTTATGTTCGAGTAACTTGTTTTATTTATTTAATTTATTAACTAGATAGTTTTTGTTATTATTTTTTTTACAGACATTGACAAAATACCATTGTTTTTGCTTTCAAAAAAAAATGCGATACATTTTCAAACAATTTATTGTTATATCAATAAAACTTTGCTTCACTTTTCTAGAGTAATTTAAAGTATTCGGTTTTTAGTTACATTTTTTCAAGGATTAATTCTGCAAGGACACATATGAGACCTCTATTGATTGTTCTATGGTTCTGTCATTCGCATGGATTTGCAGGTCAATGGCATTGAAAAGAATACTTCAGAAATATCGAAATATTTTGAGCTGGAATTTAGAGATCAAAATAAGAAGATAGAAGGTCCTATCAACATGGCTCACAAAATGCTTATTAAAACAATGATTTTTAATAATCATCTTTCGATTTGAAAGATTAAAATATGAAACGTACGTCTAAAATCAAAAAAAAGCTTCTGATCCCTAAAACCAAAATGTGCTTAGAAAATCCCTCTTTGATAAGTATGTCGATAGCTAAAATCATCAAGGAAGGATTTAGTAAGCATTTTTGAGGCATGTTCACGTGATTTATTTAAAAAATTTCGATATCTTAAGTCAGATGCCTCAAAAAACGATTACTAGGCATTTTTTATTGTCTTGAAAATCATAATATGCTTAGTAAGAAAGTAGATGTATAGTGCCGATATAAGCAACAGAAACCGTACATAACCTCAATTTCCTAACCCCCCCGCAGCGGGGGCCCCCCGCGCGTGGCGTCCTAGTGTCCCCCCTGTCTACCAGAGTGCGCTCCGCCCCCCACCCAGCTTGTGTAGCGTCCTGTTTTGCCCCGGTTCCGCCCGTCGCTGCTAGATGTCGCGCGCTTGTGTAGCGTCCTGTTTTGCCCCGGTTCCGCCCGTCGCTGCTAGATGTCGCGCGCTCCGACCGTCGTAGGCCCCCCCGGTAGAGGGCGGTGACGGTGCGGCGCGGTGACGCGGTGGATCGGGAGGATAATTAAATAAACTTGAATTTTAATACATTTTATTTTATTTTATTTATAAAATTGGTCTGGCGAGGAGTTTCTTCTTCTTTTTATGTCGATTCAGTCGACCATCCCATTGTTCCTGTTCCTTGCGTTGTTCTTCTTCCCGTTCCCGGAGGAAATCTAAATACGAAGTGCACTCCTCGCCGTCCCACTCCGTCGACCACCCACCCGGGTACTCCTGCTGCTCTTCTTTTGATCCACCGGGTTGCTCCTGCTGCTGGTGATGTTCCCTTGTCGTTTCATGTCGTACCGGGAATTCTAACCCCCGGTACTCTTTGTGTGATTTGAATATGTGACGCCCTAAGCGATGCGCCAACATAATATGCGACTTGTCATACGGACAAACCGCGATTTTTTCTAGAACAAAACAAAGTATGATATGTAGCGTTTCCTATAAAACACACATTTTTTTTTTAAACAAAACTTCCAAAAAGGGGGGTTATCAAATTATTTTAAAAATTGTTTTTTAAGTTATACGCGCATACCAAAATTCACGTTTCAATTCACTGTCATTTAAATGTAAGTGTATTATTGTCAAAAGGGCAAACTGCAATTTTTTAGTACAAAAAATAAACAAAAAAATGTATATATTTCGCGTTTTCCCCATAAAACGCACATTTTTGAAACAAAACTTTCAGTAAGTGGGGGGTCATCAAATAATTTTAAAAATTGTTTATTTTTTAAAAGCCAAAATTCCCTATTCACTGTCATTTAAAAGATATTAAAAACGCTCAATTTAATTCGATTATTATTGTCAAAAAGGCAAACTGCAATTTTTTAGTACAAAAAATAAAACATATTTCGCGTTTTCCCCATAAAACGCACATTTTTGAAACAAATTTAAAAATTGTTTATTTTTTAAAAGCCAAAATTCCCTTTTCCATTCACTGTCATTTAAAAGATATTAAAAACACTCAATTTAAATCGGTTATTATGCAACGTAAAAAAGATGAGTATCATATTTTAAAAACAGGTAGAAACTAACCAAAAAAGTGATAACCCAAACTGAAACCCACAAGAAAAGACGCGCACTGTATAAAGGTAATTAAAATATAAAACTTACCAGTTGTAGGGTCGTAGGGAAATGGACATCGCACTTCTGTATTCATTGCACTGAATATAGTCTATAATACACATGCAACGTATTTATACACATGCACTCCTTCCATGGTTGAATTAAAAGTCGAAAGGTCTTCAACCCACAAGCACCAACGCCGATTTGAATAGACGCGATGTTGTCGCCAGACAACCGTGCAGATAGGAGTCTCAGGGTCAACACGCTTTCACACGGGAACGCAACCGCTTCGGACGTTGGACGAACGTATGTTGCCGCAAAAGATCAAGGCCAACTTGCTTTCATTTTTTACAATCTCCGTATGGGATGTGGAATTTCATAACGCGCCGAGTCTAAATGTCGAGTTGTTTTGCTTGTTGAGAATAATAATTAATTGCCCCCTTTATATTTGCTCCGTGGGATTAACGTAATGGGAAAAATTTGTTGCAACGCATGTGGAGGTGTCTTCGTTTGTTAACTTTTAGAAAGTATTCTCGCACCGTATAAATACATCTCATTTTTCTCTGTTTTGTCAGTAGTTGTTTTTGGTATTATTCGTGCAACGTGGAAGCTAACTTAGTGGTTTGGTGTTCGTACAAAAAAGCAGTAAGTACCTTTTTTATTGTTTTATTTTAATTCTTTAACATTTGTTATTATTTTATAAAGGTCCTAAAGATCATCTTAGTACTCTCAACCCGTAACCGCAAATAGAATAGCAGCCAATCTTAAGCGTAAGTTTTTTTTATTTTTTTTATTTTGAGATAAAATAATTAATAATAATTTATAGATGGACTTAAGTCAACTGAATCAAACCTGTCTTGCAGAAGGTGATTTTGAGCAGCCGATTGTCAAACTGCATGAATTGCCGATAGGCGTTCCGTTTAAAATTACTAGAGCCAAAATTGTTAATACAAAATTTGGCAATTCCGTGTTGCTGCAATTAGAAAATTCCGTAGTATTTCTTCCTACTCGCGTGACAGAAGCTTTCCGTCCGAGACTAGAACACTTTGCGTCGGGGCAGTACAAACTGGTCTACGAGGGATCCAAAGATATTGGAAAGCCCAACTCTTTAAAGAAATTCAAAATAATTCAAAATTAATCAACATATTATACAGGGTAAGTCTTATTTACTGTTATATATTTAATAAACCACGATGCGCGTAAAGCAGATCATTCATAGAGCGCAAATCTTAATTTTAACCTTACAAAAATTAAAAAAGCATATTTCCGACAAGTTCACTCTTAGAGATAGTGATGTGTGGCTTAGGAGACTAAGTAAAAATATTGAATCTTGCAACCAAATCGTTTCTAACGAAAAGGATTTATCTATTGGGTTAAAAAGAAAATTACAAACTACAATTCAACATCTGAAAGCTATTAGAAAAATTATTCTTAATTATCAACATAAGCATTTTGGATTGGGATTACAAAGTAGTAGCCGCGAGACAAACACAAATGAAATGGTTGTATGGGAATCGGTAGCGTCGTGTTTCCAGGGAAGAGTTCAGACTGGTGTCATAATTAATTTACTTCATAAAGATTTAATTCAATTTTTAAACGATTCTCGTCCAATATTTCAACAAAAAATTAGTCAAATTTTAAAGAAATTTTTATTGCTGAAAGTAAATACCACATTTTGCGGTGAATTTATTAAGGCAAAAAATGATGTCCAAGGCGAAGTTGATGTTAAATATCTGAGTACCGGAAATGCTGTAGTTGATTTAGGAACAGAATTGAATGATTGGTTTGTTGAAAATGTGCAAGATAAAATTTTAAATCAAATGTCAGAGTTTCAGGAACGTGATTCCGGGTGGGCTTTAAATAATATTATTTATTTAGAGATTAACATTAATAAATTTGAAATGGGTAACGGATCATCCTTCGTTGTGCGACATTGACCAAATTATGATTATCGAGCGGGCTATACGAGGTGGAATTTCGGTGTGTGTTGGTAGATATGCGGAGGCCAACAATAAATATATGCCCAACTACGATTCATCCAGGGATGATTCCTATATCATGTACTTTGACGTCAATAACCTCTATGGCAAGGCCATGTGCGAGCCTCTTCCTTACGGAGGATTCGACTGGATGTCTCATCAAGAGATTGATTCATTTACTGTCATGAACATTCCAGATGAATCTTCCCAAGGATATATCCTAGAGGTAGACCTGGAATACCCGCAGAAATTACATGACACACATAGAGATTTTCCATTTTGTGCCGAACATCGAGTGCCCCCCAATTCAAAGTTACCAAAACTAATGACTACTTTGTATAATAAAGAAAATACGTCATACACTATCGCAATTTAAAACAGGCTCTCAAAAACGGTCTCGTACTAAAGAAAATTCACAAAATATTAAAATTTAACCAATCTCGTTGGTTGAAATGTTATATCGATCATAATAATAAATTAAGAACCCAAGCAAAGACAAAATTTGGTATAAATTTATACAAATTGTTTAATAATGCCGCTTACGGTAAAACAATGGAAAACATTCGCAAGCATCGTATTGTTAAATTTGTTAAAGCGTGGGATGGTCGCTACGGTGCGAAAAATTTAATTTCTAGTCCTAGATTTCACAGTAGAACCATACTTGATAACAATTTGTTGCTTATAGAATTAAAAAAATCGGAACTTTGCTTTAATAAGCCACTTTATATTGGAATGTCCATATTGGATTTGTCGAAAACGACCATGTACGAGTTTCATTATAATTACATGCTTCCAAATTTGGGTCCCGAAAAATGTAAAATTCAATACATGGATACGGACAGTTTCATTTATAATATCAAATGTTATGACGCATATGAAAGCGTTATTAAGGCCGATTTAACAAAAATTTGACACGTCTGATTATCCTAATGACAATCCCTATAATATACCGCAAATCAACAAAAAGGTTTTGGGGTTGATGAAGGATGAGACTAATGGCACCATCATTAGTCATTATGCGGGGTTAAGGTCGAAAATGTATACTTTCAAAATTTTAACGGGTTCGGTAGTTAAAAAGTCAAAGGGTATTCAGTACAATATTGTAAAAAATAAAATTTCATTTGATGACTACGTAGAATGCTTAACAAATTTTAGGGAAAAGTACGCCACTCAACGAACCATTCGTTCATACACTCACAATGTATTTAGCATCGAACAAACAAAAGTTGCCTTGAGTCCTTTAGACGATAAACGTTATCTTTTGCCGAATTCATATGAAACGCTTCCGTGGGGACATTATAAAGTGCCGTAATTATTTTTTAATATATTTTTGTTACAGATTATGGTCAAACAACTTACATTAGAAAGCCTTTGTATTATAACAATTTGCGAAAATATTAGGTGTAGTGCTGATTTTTTGCTTGAGTCACCTTTGCCTTGGAAACTAACGATACTAATATTTAAATATTATTCGAAATATAGATGGAAGTACCTTAAACAATTAGCGCTCCAGTCTGATGGCAATTCTTTATTAAATTTAGAATTCATTCTGTTGAATAAGAGATTTGGATCGTCTTACAGAAATAGCATTTTGGCAACTCCAACCATTGATTTTGACGGAGAATCCGCTTACTGTTTATGGGTCAGTTATTACAGGATAAAATATTCGGAAATTTTAGTTTGTAAATCTTGTCACTTTATATTTCAACTAGTTAAAAAATTTAAAAAGAAAAATTTTAGACTTTTATTGGATCACTATCATTTACAGCTGGATATAAATAATTTGAATGATGTATATCACGATAAACAATTTTGGTGTCAAAGCTGCTTTGAAGAAGTTTTGTTCACTGTAGAAACTGAAGATGAATGTAATTTAATGCTTCACGATGAGAGGAAATATGGAAAAAAGTTACGCTTTTCTGATAGTCCATTGAACTATTAATACTGTGGTTTTATTATAACATATGTAACTGTAGATAAGACTTTTATGTATTGATTGTATTCCATTGTATTGCAACAAGAATAAACATGTATATATTTAGACGCTATTTTCTTTTTTACCACCACCACAACACCGCATAATAATTACACAGAAGTTTGTAATTGTATAATTTATTTATTATATACATTATTACTATTTTACAATTTCGTTAAATGCTAAATTATTAAATTGTTCTAGTTTTCTTTTGCACTCTTGAGCTTGCATCCGCGCCACTTGCAAGTCTGTATTAAAAAGCGCAATTTGTGTTTCAATTTCGTTGATATTGCACTCTAATCCCGACAACTGAGACGCCAAGTTTCTTTTTAAATTGAATGCCTCACAAATGACACTTTTTTCTCTACCGTCCGTGAACACTTCGAGCCAATCAGCGGATGACGTTGGAGCTGCAAACGCTTCACTTGTGGTAGTTTTCTTCTTCTTCTTGCGGGATACGACCGACGCACTTTGTTTTCGTTTGGTCGCAGATTTTTTGGTTTGTTGCTCTACAGGAACGAAGCTGGACGGGAGCACTTCTGATGAAGGAAATTGCAACTCGAAATTTTCCAATAAATTATACAATTCGTTGGATGTCACAATTTTCTCTTGAGCCATCATATACACGTATTTATGTCAGAACTTCTAAATCGAGACTAAATTTATTTCAAAACGTCTACGTTGTCTACCCACGAATCGTGCGACTTATCCAATCCCAACCAGCGCACGAGAACCATATTGCCTCGTCTGCGCAACACCTTTTCGACGAGATATAAGTCCGGGTTAACTGTCTTCTGCAATTCTTCTTCATAAAATCCGCCCATTATGGGTTTACCCTGCATATCTTGAAGCAAATACGTTACGGGGTTAGTAACCCGTACTTTAACAATTTTAAACAATTCCGTGGTCCAATTCGGTGTATAACCTTTGTTGAAAACGTGCTTGACTTTGCTGATTCTAACGATGTCGCCGACTTTAAGTTTACGAGGACCGAATATTTTTATGCTACTATACGCGGTTTTCAAAATTCTCTTTTCGTTGCTCTTACTCACATCGATGGGTTTCGTACCCGTCGTTCTATGTTTTGTGTTATTGTATTCATCAACGATAGAGGCGAGCACATCGATCCATTTGTACGTCCCGCGTAAAGAAAAATGTCGAAACAATTTCTCTTTGAGGGTACGTATCACCCGTTCGACAATTGAGGCCTTTTTTATGCTATACGTACTATAGTGGTTAATTTTATGCTTATCCACAAGTTTCAGAAACGTGTCGTTGTAAAATTCTTTACCGAGATCCGTTTGCAAGTTTTGAGGGTGCCGTCCGTCCTTGAGAATTTTGGAAAACGCCTTGGCGACTTCGACCCCGGTTTTGGTTTTCAACGGGCGACACCATACATATTTTGAGAAACAGTCTATCACAACCAGCACGAATTTAAAATTTCTGTTTTGTTTGCTGTAGCGATCTAATTGGGCCAGATCCGCTTGCCACAGGTCATCCATCCCTCGTATTATAGTCCGGCGGCGAGCATAATTTCTGCGTGCCGGCTTGTGCAGTTCTCGAACCAGTTGTACCTTCTCTTTATTCATAATGTGTGTTCGGTTGCGATGGAGGATTTAAAACCCTTTGTTTCAATACCTTCATTATATTCTCATTTTCGTTCGTAAGTCGCTCCATTTTGGTTACAATATCATGAAATTGCTGTGACAAAACGGCGACTTTTGTCATGTGCTTTTCCAAATCTTTCTTTGCGCTCATTTCGCTTAGCTTTTGGTGGAAAACTTCGCGAAACTGCATAATTTCATTTTCGAGTGTAGTGCTACTCATTTTCAGTTGTTCTTCAAGACGCGAGAATTTAGTTTTGTCTTCAATTTGTAATCTTTTCGTGTACGCTTCGAGTTTCTGTCCAATAATCTTTCTCAATGCAATTTTTAATAAATTACTTGTCTCATCCACATATTTTTTGTTAGCCACGTCACCGTCGTCGCTAGGCGTTTGGACATTGCAAATTTTTAAATTGTTCATATTGACGTTTCCGTCTGGCATATAGTCGAGGGCGCTTCTAATCACAGTATTAGTGAAGGGTCGTCGCAGCGCGCTAGAACGTCCAAACTTGTCCAGACTCATCGTTAAACTAACGTATAAAACCTGATTCTTTTAGCTCTTCAACGATTGAAACTATTTCGTTATCATGAGACGTGTTGCCTGCGTGTTTCGACGCGATTAGTAATTTCAGACGCTCTACGAGTTCATTGACGTCGTCCCAGTATACATATTCAGTAGGAGCGTCATTATAACGCATATTATAACCTTGACCGCTGTACGAGTACGAACGCGACTGAGATTTTATTAAGGGTCGGATGACCTTGGTATATTTTGGTACAGTCGATGCGCCTTTCAAACGTCCGATCGCGTCCCTGTGCACCTGGGTAGCCTCCATTATTTTTTTATATTGTGCCAAATCGTCTTTTGTGTATGCTATGGGATCTTTCAAAAACACCAAATTATACAAGCCGCGGGTACCGGAATATCTCTCGCCGTCTACAATAATATCGCCAGATCCTTGATGAAAATCCAGCGATTTATTGCCGAGAAACCATTTGGATGATATTTTGTCGTAAACGGGTCCGTAAACAATATCGGTGTCGGGCGATTTTACCCATAAATTTTGAATATATGAATGGGAAATTTCTGGATATTGTTCCAGGTATGATTGAAGGGATGCGTTGGCCACGCTCGATGTGTCAAACACATCATCTTCCTCCTCATCGATATTTTGCATCTCAACGCTCTTATTGGGATCCGGCGTTTCCTGAATTTCTTCCATAGGCAAAAATGATACGTTAACCTTATTTTTTGTTTCTTCGTTCGGTTCCTTTTTGTGTTCCCGCTTGACACCTCGACGTTCAGTTTTTATTTCTGCCGGTGACGGTGATAGCTTTATTTTTGCTATACGTTCTAGCGGCTCGCTGACGGGTTTGAAAAGCTTCCGAATTGACGCATCCTCTTCGCTCTTACCCAATTTTAATGTTAAATACTTCTTTCGAATAGATCTAGACAACTCGTTTACTTTTTTTTTAGCGCCGCGTCGGCGATGTCGGCGGACGTCGCCTTCATGACTGTTTCTATCGACAATTAAATATCGACTTTTATATATTTATCGAAACCCTTGCGGTAGCGTCCGTTTTTTACGTCGAAATCTTTGACAATTATCAAACAGCCGTACTTTTCTTTCCAGCACTCGGAACAAATTTGTTTAAACGTGTCGTATGAAACGTCGGGTGAGACATGTTCATCATAAACGTGACGTAAATTCATGTCATCCTGTTTAAACAACGCGACAATATTGCAATTGTCACGTATCAATTGCTTGGGTACCTTGGAGTATGTCTGACAGAGATAAATAGCGTCGATGGCCTTGTGTCGGCACATCGAAAAATACTCGCGAATTTTATCTTGCTTGTCGCACGCCACGTCGTCGAAAATAAACAGAGAATTCTCTTTCGCATCGCTGGGGTCGATTATCGAGTCTCTTTCACTGTAGGGATAATATCCAACTCCTTTGACATTGCTCAATACGCGAGATAACAGTTGATATTTTGGTTGATACAACGACTTTGAGTAGACGTAAACATTTTCGAAACTTGCCCCGTTGGGGTTAAAGAGTAGCGCTAACATGGTGTTGGTTTTGCCGCAACCGCTAGGTCCGCAAAACACCGCCCTAAATGAATTGGGTAGCAGTTGACCGTGTTTGCTTTTGTTAAAGAAACCATCTCCGCAAACCAAATCTAAATTATCGATGGGGAGCTTGAGTTTCTGCTGCACCACCCGCATGACTACAATGTTTATTCGAGACACCTCGTATATATATATACGACACAAGCAATTTCCTTTAATTAGTATGTTATGCTTCGCGTCCGGAAGTGGTCTCGTTAACACGCTTATTAACAAGTTACCTTTTGAAGTACACATTCCGGGTTACCAGTTTTGCGGTCCCGGTACAAAATTGGAAAAACGCTTGAACCGAGGCGATAGCGGGGTGAATCCTTTGGACGCTGCGTGTAAGGTACACGACATTGCCTATTCGCAAAACAAATCGTTAGACGAACGTCATAAAGCGGATAAAGAATTGGAAACGCGTGCGTGGCAGCGAGTAAAATCTAAAGACGCAAAGTTTGGTGAAAAAGCTGCCGCATTCTTTGTCACCGCGACTATGAAAACTAAACGTAAGCTCGGTATGGGTCAACAACGGCGTCCCTCTGTTTCGTTTCGACAGGGTGTCGTGAAAAAGGTTCGCAATGCATTAAAGAAGAAACAATTGTTTCATATCGATAACCCTAAAATGCTTAGAAGATCGGCACTGGAAGCGCTTCGAGCTGGCAGAGCCGCTGTAAGAAAAGCGGGAGGACGTAAAAAAATTATGGTACCTAGAATTATACCGTTCGAATCAAAATCGGGCGGTATTTTACCACTTTTACCGTTATTAGGAGCGCTAGGGGCTTTAGGTTCGCTCTCGGGCGGAGCCGCTGCTATCGCTAAAACTGTCATCGATGCGAAAAACGCACGAAAGAAACTCGAAGAGGCCAACCGCCATAACCGAGCTATGGAAGAGATTGGAAAAAAGGGATCGGGTCTATTCTTGAAAAAGAGTCCGCGCGGCGGATTCGGTCTTTATCTGAAGAAACAAAAAAACTCCCAATAAAGCTACCCAGAAGGGCTCTATACGACGTCGATTTAATATCTCTGGCGCGCAAATTAAAAATTCCTCACTTCAGGGGTGTTTTTATGCGAGATAGTTTACCCCGTCGAATCAGATCGCAAGAATGCGGAATCGTAAATTTGGATGTTCGTCGAAATAGAGGAACCCACTGGGTAGCATACAAAAAGAGGAAGGGAAACGATGTTGAGTATTTTGACAGTTTCGGTAACCTTAAACCACCCGCGGAACTTGTTAAATATTTCGGCAACAGCGCCAATATCTACTATAATCACGATAGATATCAAAAGTTTACGCAATACAATTGCGGTCATTTGTGTTTGCAATTTC